TACAATTTATTTAACTACCTCACAATTATAAATCATTCAAACTTATACATTATGTTACACATTAATTTCAAGTAAAATAGATTGTTCTTTAACTGACTGCCATATTAAAAAATTGCTAGATAATGTAATTTCAAATATTCCTGGTAACGTCTGCCCTCCATTTCAATTGGTAGATCGCATTCGACGCTTATTGGCTGGATAGGGGCACAAATGGCTGCTTCTTTCTGATTCGTTGCTCATGTTGCGATTCATTCAAATCGAGTGGCTAGAACTGCAAGTGTTCGTACGTTCCTCTGGATCTTCTGACAGCAATTAAAATATCCTCGCTCCAGGAGAACATTGATAGTAACCAGATATTCAGAAAATCTGGAATTTGATGGATATAATGATTCACTGCAACTGTTACTACTGCAAGAGGATGAAGCCCTAGATGCTGATGATGAGGAGGATGAGGTGGAATTGACACTGTTGGGCATCTATCAGGAATAATGCCATTATTCACCATCTGGCCGAAATTTGCAAAATTTTCTAAAAAAGGGAAATTTCATTAAAGTACATTATATTGGTTTATTGTCATAATTAGACGATAACAATATGAATTGTAATGTACATACCAACATCTTGGAAATGAGTTTCATTTGAAATCGATTCCAGGGCTAGTTTAACCATTTTTGCCCCTCGAAGTGTCATGATTTCACATGAATTCTGAAATTATGCAAATTGTTAACTTCAAAAATACATATTATCTGGAAACAGCACTACGTGCATTAACAGTAATAACGTCATACGTCAAAATCTTCTTACTATCTCTATAGTCAAAATATTGCGAACTAATTCTGCAAGTCTACAAGTTTTTTTTCGCAAACGTTACGCTTTTCTGTTTAGTTCAAAGTCAAGACAACAATTTAACAATAGGTTTGATTGGAGTAACGTTACAAGTAATAATTGTACAGGAGTTTACAGAGAGTTTACGGAGTTTACAGAGTACAGGAGGAGATACTTTGCTGCAAGAGCGTCACATTTTTTAAAACGACTGTCTTGGCTCGGAGTATCTTAGCTGCAAGAACGTCATATTTTGAAATACGACGATCTTCGATTAGGCTCTAGAAAACGCGCCATCCCTATGACTGCGTTGGTATGTTACGTCGACGATACTTTCGTCATCTGGCCCCATGGCTCCGAATCTCTTCACACCTTCCTCGAACA